ATAGTCTGGTGCACTTCTCTTTCTTCTCCATTTACCACAGAGTCCGGTTTACTCTAGAAAGTGCAAGCCTCACGACGGTGTCTACATTGCAGCGTTGTATATATATGTATACACATATATATACCATCTATCTCAATCCAGTACTGTTTGCATCACAAGGCCTTTTTTCCCCTCCTTTCCCTACCCCCCTCCCCCCTTCCCTTTCCTCACCACTAAAGCTGCATCATCTACTTGTTGCCCCTTTATTACTAGCATATATGATTGATATATATCTTAATTTCTGTTTACTGGATTATTTTGTTTAAGATTTACTGAGTGAACGTTATATCCACTACAAATTCTCTTGCGCCAATTGCATTTTTATTTTAGTATTTATAAAGTGCCAACAGTTCGCTCAGCACTGTATATTACGATGGGGGACAATATATGCGACAGTACAATAACAATACAATGTGATACACGAGGGGTTTGAGGGCCCTGCTCCTTGGAGCTTACAATCTAGGAGGGAGGGGATAGTGGTACAGGAGGAAAAGCTGTGGGGGATGGAGGGGTGGGAAGAGTGGAGGAGGTTGGCAACTAGCAGGGGGTGGGGTAGGCTTCCCTGAAGAAGTGGGTTTTCTGGGTGCGCCTAAAGGAGAGGAGAGTAGGTGATAGCCTGAAGGATTGGGGTAGGGAGTTCCAGAGGATAGGTGACGCCCTGGAGAAGTCCTGGAGGCGGACATGGGAGGAGGAGACCAGGGAACTAGAGAGAAGGAGGTCTTGTGAGGAGCGGAGAGTGCGTTTTGGCTGATATTTGGATATTAGGTCGGTGATGTAGTTTGGGGCAGTATGATGGACAGCTTTGTACATCAGTATTAGGATTTCTAGAGTCATCATCCACTGTTATCTCTAAACCAATGAGCTGTAAGAGATTTTAAAGTATTGCTTATGAACAATTTTTGGGACTGTAGTTCTTTGCTGCTTCACGGGCGTGCTCACTATTGAGGCTTGACATGTTTGGTATCTATTTACTTGACACAACCTGGTCTTTTGTATTATAATGTGTTTGCCAAAGTATATATTGCCAGCACACCACAGATCTTTAGGATAACGTCTAAACGTTTATTCAGGTGATCACGTCACAGCAGTAAGGTACAACGTTTTGGGGCAGGACCAATAGACCTATGCCTGAGGAAGGGATCCAGCCTGGCTCTGATAAGTGACACCTTGCCACTGGGATATAATTAACTGAATAAATATTATATAAATATAAATGTTAGGACATTTCCAAAAACTAGCTCACTTCGGGGTGTCCACTTAAAAAGGGGTCATTGGAGGGGTTTGCCTTGCTGTAGCATTTTTACTTCAATATATTTCATACTAGAAAGTTTTTTTTCTTTTTTAATTTCGGGCCTTTTTTCCATAATATGGTGAAAAAAGTTGTTAAATAACACCAAAATAAAGCTCTTTCTGTCTCAAAAGAATGATGAGTAATTGTCAGTCAAACTACCACAGCGCTGAAAACTGACAACTGCTAATGAAGGGGGTGGAACATGCCGGTCTTCAAATGGTTAATGCAATGCATTTTAATTGTGATTTAACTTTATGACAAGATTTGAATTGAAAACTGTATGATTTAAAGACACATTCTGCATAAGTAGCAAATGGTAAATCATTTTTATGAATAAAATATACGGTTTGGTACATTTTCTTCTTCAGGCTAAATTAGTTTTCAGGGATGCCATGCTAATATCATTAAAATTCTGCCGCTTGTTTTTCTTCGCTCAGAAAATATTGTTAAAACAAAATTAGTTTCGCTTGAATATTGATGTGAGATATGTTCACTGATAAAATTCTGTTGATATTTTCATTAGCTTTAAATATGAAAAGTGCTTGTGGTGTAAAAACGCTGAAAATGCGGAAAAGATTAGGAGTGCAGACATTGTTAATGGATGTTGTATACATCTTTGTAAATGTGACCAATTTCTGTATTTTTCCTTATCATAGACAATGTTCAGGGAAGGGATGGAGTTGTAGCGGTGATTATATCTCTTAGAGCAGGGGTCTCCAAACTATGGCCCTCCATGTGTTGAGAAACTGCAAGTCCCATGAGACCTTGCAAAGACTCTGACAGCCACAGGCAAGACTCCCAAAGGCAGATGCATGATGGGACTTGTAGTACTTCAACAGCTGGAGGGACACAGTTTGGAGACCCCTGTTCTAGAGGGTGAAGAAACATGCAGCAGAGAGAAGGTGAAATGTTGGCCACAAGAGTTGATCTTGTTCTATAAGGCCCTGTTCACACTGGCATTGAAAAGAGGTGTTTGAGGTGCATTTCTGCTGTTCCTAAATGCCTATCAAAGCAGGCCGCTCACCTACAGTACCCTTGCTGCAGGTAGGTGGCAGCTACAGACTTGTTTCTGGATTTCCTGGCACACATGTACGCGCCTTCTGCTGACTAAGTTTGTCAGCAGGTTTCAGCCAATTATTTTGGCTGTATACCTGCTGATTGGCTGTGACCAATCACAACACAGAGTTCTATGTTTAGCTCCATGAGCAGGGCCCTCTCATTCCTTCTGTACTGAAATGTATTCTAATTGTTCTGTCTCCGTTATATTGTAAAGCACTGCGCAAACTGTTGGCGCCATAAATCCTATATAATAATAATAATACACACAGGGCTCTGTACACAGGACAGGGATCTGGCTGTTTCTTCTCCCAGAGCAGCCAGATCTGCGAGTAAAAGCAGCACACCTTATTATTACAGGTACTTATAGAGCGCCATCAAATTACTCAGTGCTTTACATATATATTGTACATTCACATCAGTCCCTAACCCTCAAGGAGCGTACAATCTAAGGTCCCTAACTCACATTCATACATACACATACTAGGGCCAATTTAGACAGGTGCCAATTAACCTACCAGCATGTCTTTGGAGTGTGGAAGGAAACCCATGCAGGCACAGGGAGAACATGTAAACTCTAGGCAGGTGGTGCCATGGTTGGGATTTGAACCAACGACCCCTAGTACTGCCAGGCGGAAGTGCTAACCATTTAGCCACTGTGCTGCACCTTACACTTATTAGGCGCACAGTTAACCCCTTGATTGCTACTTGATGTTAACCCCTTCCCAGCCAGTGTCATTAGTAAAGTGACAGTGTATGATATTAACACTTATCCCTGTATTAGTGTCACTAGTGACATCAGTGCTGGTCAGTTAGTGTTCCTCCCAACCAGTATCTGTTAGCACCAGATTGGCCACCACACTATCAAAGTCACACTATAAGTCGCCGATCACCGCCAATACTAGTATAGCATCCATAGCTGTGTAAATACCAGTTTGTGGACGCTATAACTTTTACGCAAACCAAACAATATACACTTATTGAGATTTTATTTTGTCAAAAAACATGTAGCAGAATATATTTTGGCTAAAATTTATGAAGATATTAGATTTTTTTAACCTTTTTATTGGATGTTTTATAGCGGAAAGTAAAATTGCAAACACTAAAAAGTGGTTTTGGTGATCAAATACCAAAAGCTCTGTTTGTGTGAAAAAAAAATGATTTATATTTTGCTTGGATACAGCGTTGCATGACCGTGCAATTACCAGTTAAAGCAGCGCAGTGCTAAATAGTAAAAAATGACCTGGTTATGAAGGGGGGGGTAAAACCTTCCGGTGCTCAAATGGTTAAACTGGATTGTGACATATAACTGTTGTTTGTATCGTTATTAGAATGGCGATGTTATAAAATGGAAGTGTATGCTGTGACTACAGAACTCCTTCACACTTCTTGAACATGGGCCAGAAACAATTGAGTACTGTCCGTGATACTTTTTTTATTTGCACTAACATACAATTTTGAGGACAAGCTTTCGGGGAGTGTCCCCTTCTTCAAGGTCCAAACAGTACTATTACAAATCACAAAGTTTAAGCAGAATGTTAGAAGGGATTGAGAAAAAAAAAAAGGCTACAGATAAGATACATCAAAAAATTGAAGCAAAGTGCTCAATCCCTATATCCCAATCAGACAGCGAGGGTTCCAGAGCCCGACTCCAACTTCTGCCAGCCCAGTTCCAATAGGATGTTAGTAATAGATAGTCTGCATCCCGGAAAGTCCCAGTATAAAAATGTATACATTTTATTGGTACTTAAGGCAAAGTGGTAACTATGACTAGAGCCCTTTTAGGATGAAATATGTCAGCTTTTGCTGCAGGGCTGTGTTTTTAAAATTATGTACCAAAAAAGTATGAATTTTTTTATACTTGAACTTTCCATGATGTGGACTATCTATTAATATCCTCTTGAACATGGGGCGCTTAGCCTTAGTGCACCCAGGAGGCACGGGTGCAGCGTCCAGCCCCTCTGTCTGCAGCCTGTCAAAGTCTATGGCAGGCTGAAATACACTGTGTTCTGGGTATTCGTCCTAGTATTCGTCATAGGGCCCTAAACTTGAGTAGCACTTGGTTCAGCTCTATCCAGCCGCAACATATTTCAGCCTGCCATAGACTCTGACAGGCTGCAGGCAGGTTTGCTGGACATTGCACCTGTGCCTTCAGGGTGTCTAAATCACCAAGATTGCACACACAGCAGCTAGATGGACCCATGTGCAAGGAGCCCTAATTAGTACAGTCTGCAGCATATCCCATAGTTAATTTTACTTTAACATCATGCGTAGTTTTCCACAATCTTGATAATTTGTGACATTTTACAACACACCTTTGTGCACTTGTTCGGCTCCATGCACACGGGGCATTTAATAACACTGGTAATGTTAGCTGTGTAAATTTACGTTAAAAACGTGAGTTTTTCTGTGTTTTTTTTTTTATGTTTTTGCATTAGCGTTTAGCTGCGTTTTGCCGCTTTTTTTGAGTTTACGGCTTTTAGCTTTCTTTTGACAGGCTGCAGGCAGGTTTGTTGGACACTGCACCTGTGCCTTCAGGGTGTCTCACCCCCGGTTCACATATATGTGGCCGTGCGGGCCGCGATTTGCACGGGCACGAGAGCCCATTCATTTGGGAGCCTCGATCCCAGTACTGTTGTGTTTTCCAGTATGGGCGGCGTGCCATTAATGGCACCCGCCCGTGGGTCTGCATTTCTCTGTGTGGGTGGTGCGGCTGCACAGATTTTGGTGTGGATCCGCAACGGCACCACCCGCACAGATGTGAACCTAGGGTAAATTTACAGGATTGCACAAACAGCAGCTAGACAGACCCAGGGGCGGGCTGACAACTCATGGGGCCCCCGGGCAATAGGGGATCATGGGGCCTCTGTGTCCTTGCCCAAACTCAAAAAAGCCTATGAAAAAGGTACCAGGGGCATCTCATGGGGCCCCCTACTGACCCGGGCCCTCGGGCAGTGTTTCCAAGTGGCCAGTCCGCCCTTGGACAGACCCTAGTTAGTACAGTCTGCAGCATATCCCATAGTTAATTTTAATTTATCATGCATAGTTTTCCACAATCTTAATAATTGGTGACATTTTACAACACACCTTTGTGTACTTGTTCGGCTCCATGCACACGGGACGTTTAATAGCGCTGGTAACGTTAGCTGTGTAAAGTCACGTTAAAAACTTGAGTTTTTCAGCATTTTTTAATGATTTTGCATTAGCGTTTAGTGGTGTTTTTTCACGTTTGCGGCTTTTAGTTTTTTTTTTTTCTCAAAAAAAGTCCAAAAACGCCGGTTTGCTGCATTTTATAGCGTTAGAGCATTTTTACAGCTAAAAAACTGTAAAAACCGACTAGTTCTGTTTTTTTTTTTCCAGCCAAAAAAATGCCCCTGCCAAAAAACACTGATTACAGTCTATGTGTGCATGGACACATAGGATAACATGCTGGGGGGTTTACTGGCTGTAGAAAAAAATACCAAAAGCCAAAAACAGCCGCTGTAAAAATGTCCAGTGTGCATGAGGACTTCAAGTGGTAGTAAAGTCTTTTTTTTCTCTTGTACCTACAGGTAATCCTATAATAATGTTTACCTGTAGGTACAGTAAATATCTCCTAAATGTGCACCGTTTAGGAGATGTTTCCTTTTTTTTTTTTTTTTTTTTTGTGAAAATCTATTTATTTGAGTTCACAGATATACAATACAGGCGTACCTCAGTTTATGAACGCCTCGCTTAACGTAATTTTCAGTTTATGAATAAAAATCCATTCAAAATAATGCCTCGGTTCACGATTTTTTTTTTTTGCAATACGAACTAATTATTTGGTTTTCAATGCATTTACAAATTTTTTTTTAACCATGTCTCTGTACAGTATTTATGCCTTTAAAGTGCACTTTATAAAGAGTTTTGGACAGATAAAAGACTTTTTTTTAAATTTTTTTCTAGCCTCCGGAATGGATTAATTGGTTTTCAATGCATTCCTATGGGAAACCACGTTTTGGTTTACAAATTTTTGCAATACGAAAAGTCCCGCAGAACGCATTAAATTCGTAAACCGAGGTACGCCTGTAGTAACATACTTGTGCAAAATACAAAAGGTATAGTTCATACAGGAGCCAGTGCCCAGGTGCAATTCCAAAAAATACCAAAAACCATAAAACAATCAAAGAACAAGTCGCAAGGCTCATACACAAAGTAAAGTCACATGTAAGAGCAATGACCAATCAGAGACCATGTCACTTAGATAGGTAATAGTGAACATTCAGGTGTCAGATGGAGTAACATTTGAGGAGGTCCCAAACCAACATAACCAGGCTTTGTTAAATTTTGTTGGGCAGCCCCTGTTACGGAAAGTGTCTTAGTACAAAGGTAGCACCGAGTTAACCAGTTCCATCCAAAATGAAACCGAGGGTGGAGAAGGCTTTTTCCAGTGGCAATAGCTTGCCAGGCATAGAACAGGAGAAGACCTAAAAGTATTCATGTTGTCAACCTGGGGGCCAGTTCTAATCTGGGTGATTAGGCAATAGGGATATGTACCACTGATTTAATTACCTCTCAAACCTGTCACTAGTACACCACTATGGCAGGACACTTCCAGAAGACATGTATGTAGTCTCTCACAGAGTATGGGCATCTCCAGCATGTGGGAGATATTGAGGAATATAATTTGTGGGGTCTGTGTGGAGTATAATAAACTCTATGGATAATTTTAAATTGGATTAATTTATTCCTGACAGATACCAGATGGTTAAATGGAAAGTCCCATACTTCAGACCAATCTTCTTCATTCATCTCTGGAGCATCAGTTTTGTTGAAGGGAGGTCAGGTCAGGTAAAGCTGCAGTCAGTAGATATCTGTAGAGCTCGGAGGTGGGCTTTTCCAAGTCAGGTACTCGCAGGATGGACTCTTACTCAGAATAGGAGAGTTCTAGCTGCAGACCAGGGAACTGAGCGCCGAAGGCATGGGCAATTTGAAGGCATCTAAACCGATAGTGGGAGGGGAGGTGGAATTTTTGTTTAAGATAGGGGAAAGGCAGTAGTTTATGATGTGCAATAATATTCGCCAACATTTTTATTTTGTATTTGGCCCAAAACCAAGGGATCACCGGCACATGCACACAGTTCTCTCAATGCACGGCGTGCCGCATGCGTGAGAGTGACATCATTTCAGCTTGGCCAGTCAGACAGCCGCAACCCCCGATTGAAAACTGGGTGAAGATGGAAGCCCTGGGGAGCTGAGACAGTGTTCTGCTGGAGGGCTTTGTTTCCAGGTAAGTCTTTCATAATTATTTATTATTACAGGTACTTATAAAGCACCATCAGTTTATGCAGTGCTTTACATATATATTGTGCATTCACATCAGTCCCTAACCCTCAAGGGGCGTACAATCTACGGTCCCTAACTTACATTTATACATACACACACTAGGGCCAATTTAGACAGGAGCCTATTAACCTACCTGCATGTCTTTGGAGTGTGGGAGGAAGCCGGGGTACCTGAAGGAAACCCACGCAAGCACAGAGAGAACATGCAAACTCCAGGCAGGTGGTGCCGTGGTTGGCATTTGAACCAATGATGCTAGTACTGGCAGGTGGAAGTGCTAACCATTTAGCCACTGTGCTGCCCCATAATGTGCTAGTATGTGATGTATACTAGATAAATTATGCTCCTAACTTGCAGGGAGAAGATTTTTTATTTTTTTTGCTGGTTGCTACCACTTTAGCTGTAAAGTGTTTGTAGTTATTTTATAATGTTATTTTGCACCTTGTTCGTTTTGCGGACAGCTCTGAAAGTAAATTCTGATTTTATAGGAGAAGAACATTAATGTGAGGATTAGTTAAGTAGAAGATAAGGTGTTACATCGAGGTTTATGTTTATTTAACCGGTCCTCGTAAACATTGCATTATGTTCAATCTCTTCTCATTCCTGGTCACTCTAAAATCCTTGTGTTCAATAATCCTTGTAAACTGGGGAAATAATTTCATTACCACAGGTATTGTTCCCTAGAGATAAGAGGTTCACTGGGAACGTAAATTGCACCCGTTCAAGGACCCGCAGGCAAACCGTGCTGCTCTTTAGCAGACATACGGGAGTACCTATATTTGGTAATGGCACCCCCACACACTGGAAAACACGGCACTATTTCAGATACATGAAACCACGTGGTGCCACAGCAAGAACAGGCTGTCCTTCAAATGTATCAGTTAGAGGGTTGAGACAAAACATTACTGAGGAAGTCACGTGACCAGTGGAATAACGCATAGGACAGAGCCGGGTGACGTTGCAGCCCAATTGTTGCTGGCCAAGAAGTTCAGTATCTACTGTCGGATAGCTACTGCCTTGATTGTAAACAAGCAAATGTACACTCTATATATGAGTACAATTTTAAATGTGAATTGATTTTTAATTAATAAATACCTTGTAGTAATGCTATAACACTATGGACGGTTGTCTTTTTTGCATATATTTTTTAATTGGTTTTTGCTGAGCAAAGCCACTTGAGGACGCTGTGACCTGGTACAGTGACCTGCTGGGACAGCATAAAGCGATTTTAGACCTGTATGCAAATACAGATCTAAGAACAAGTTGCGTGGCCAATTTAAACTCTGGTGTAACATATCACTGTATGCAGTTGGCAGTAAATTGTCTAATGTGCACTGAGAGATCAAGCACTGTGCTGGGATACGTGGATTAATAGTGATTATAACACAAGAGTACCTGTGGACTGTTATTGGACTATCTATGCCCACTCCCACTTCTGGTCCGATTGCCTAGGCGATCAGAAGCGGAAGGTGTCCTCCCTCCATCCCTATAGTCTTTTGGGATACGTGACAGATCCCAGAAGACTACAAGACCATTCATGAAGTGCAGCGCTACTCGCGCATGCGCAGTGGGTACCCGGCTGTGAAGCCGCAAGCTATCACAGCCAGGTGCCCACACATGCCGGCCTCCTGGAATTCAGGACAGGCGGTGAAACGGGCTGCGGGGGACACACCACGGGACCAAGGGACAGGTAAGTGGCAGTTTTTGTAGCTGCTGACCTTTATTTTTTGGCAGGGTGAGTGGAAACTCCGCTTTAAGCTGCAATGTATTACATTTTTGGGTTTGGTTTAACCACTTCCCGACCGGCCGTTGTATATAAACGGCCGGACGGTGGCACTGCAGGGTCGGGTGGCCGTCAATAAACGGCCTCCCCGCACCCTGCTTGTGCGCGCTCCCTGGGAGCGGGCAGCACCGCGATCCGGTGCCCGCTGTGTCCTCCGGACACAGTGAAAACACCGATCGTCGGACGGGACCTATGTACGAGGTCCCGATCATGTGATCACTGATTGGCCAATCAGTGATCACATGCAAAGTAGTAAGCAAGATGTCACTTGTGACATCAATGCTTACTATGTGTGAAATCTGAATGATCACAGAGGTCACATGGTACAAGGCTATTCACAAAAGCCTTGTACCATGTGACAAGCTGTGACCAATCACAGCTCACTCAGTTCTTCTCAATGAGTGCAAGAATGCACACAGAGAGAAAGAGAAATGATTGCTTTTACATCTTATATGGGTGTAAAAGCAATCAGTGTAAAAAAAAAAAAAAAAAAATCTTCATCACCCCTCACAAGTAGTACAGTGTCACCATGGTGACACTGTACTGCTAGGGTGACAGTATGTAAAAAAAAAATAAAAAAATAAAAAATAATAATATAAAAAAATAAAATAAAAATGTAAAAAAAAATGTTTAAAAATTATAATTTTTGCTTATAAACTAATTTGGATTTTTTTTTTTTTTACTAAAAAGATAACGGAATAAATTTTGGCTAAGATTTATGACGAAATATTATTTATTTGCAAAATTTTATAAAAAAAACACTTTTTTTCAAAAATTTTTTTTGGACATTTCATTTACATAGCAAAAAAAATACAAATCCCAGTGGTGAATAAATACCACCAAAATAAAGCTTTATCTATCTCAAAAAAATGGTAAAAAATTAATTTGGGTACAGTGTTGCATGACCGCGCAATTGTCATTCAAAGTGTGATAGCGCTAAAAGCTGAAAATTGCCCTGGTCAGGAAGGGGGTAAAAGTGTCCGGTCTGGAAGTGGTTAATATCGTTTTAAGTGTTGCATCATGCATGGAAAAGTCCAAAAGAAAAGCTGTCTGTATTGCCCACAGTGGCCAATCAGCTTGCAGATGTCATTTTGGTGCAACAGGGTATGAAATGGAAAACAACCAGGTCTTAAAGTCTAACTAAAATCTAATACTAATTTTTTTTTTAGTCGTGTACCACCATATGTTATGATTACCACCCAAACAGTTCTTTCTTCTTCTCACTTCTTGGCTGGGTGACACAGAAGGATCTGTAGGGGAATCTCCCGGTAGCATTACAAGAACGCCGTATAATGGAGAATTATTTATAAACTTCTGTTTTTTGTGAAGCTGGCTCCAAAGCGTAGTATCATAATTAATTCTAGATCTGATGTTGAATGCAATTCTGTCCTTTATTATCATTGCATTTCAGGCTCTTGACTTGTAATTAGCGCTACGCAGCACCGTCAAGTTTTTAAAGGAGGGAGGAATACTCTTCTAATTGAATTTCTGTGATGAAAGTAGTAGCGAACTGTGCGCTCTCAAAGGAATAATTACTTTGGCCCGGAGATGTCTGAAGTAGAGTTAACTTTAAAAGCGGGATTACTGGAAAGCTGGTTGTCCATAATACCTCAATGCAGGGCTTACAATGAAAAGTGTAGCAGATTTGTCATAGTCTGATCGCTAGTTAAACATGAAACAAACATGCCCCTTTCTTACCCTAGGTTCACACTTATGCAGGTTGTGTTTGAGCCGTTTCTGCATTGCGTTTTGCATTTTTGCACTTGCATATTTGACGTGTTTTTGAAGCATTTTGCTTTTTTCTAATAATTTTTTTAAATAAATTTGTTGCTAGGCAGATTTTAAAAGCAAACCGCATCAAAAACGTATCAAAAACGCAATACATGCTTTTCTGCATTGAAGTCTATAGAACCAAAAATGCAACGTTTTGCATTAAAAAAAAGTCACTGACGCTTTCTAAAAAAAAAACGCACTAGGTGAAAACGCAGAGATGTGAACCTGTCCCATAGGAAATCATGTTCAATGGACTGTACTGCATTTCTGCAAAATACTGCAGAAAATGCTTAGGTGTGAACCGAGGGTAACAACATACCTACAGGAAAAAACTGCCTGTCAAAATAATCTTTGTTCAAGAAATTTCACCAACTGAAATTACATTCGAATCTCAGCTGAGAAGTCAAGTTTGGAGAAACCTTTTCCACCTTCTAAGGCCCTCTACTGGGCCTTTAGTGTGACAAGCAATGTGACTGACCAATAGGAAAACTCGGGATCTGGGGAAGCTGGGACATAGGTCAGTTTATACAGGAAATTTCAGGATTTGTATATAACTTCAGCTGCTTATTTCTGTGGATATGCCAATGTTAGAAAATGAGATAAATTCAAATAATAATGCATTCACATGTGGTTTGAAAGAATCGCTTTTGCTTAGTTAAAGAGGTCCTTACAGGGCATTGCATTCAAATATTGCAGCACATCTGATTTTTCCACAATGCAGGACGCATGACAATGTTCTCCATTCTGAAGAGTAACTCCACTTATGATGATGAAAATCAATCCTCTCTGGATGATATTTGCATTGCGAGGCTTTTAACAAAATTTGTAGCAGATTCCTACCTATTTCTGTTCTGAAATAAAAGCGGTTTGTTCCATTATGTCCTTTCAAAACTGATTCCGAAATGGAAATGTCTGCACTCACTATAATCACCTGGTCCACTTTCAGTGTTCGAAGAAAGTTGCAGTGTCTGTATCCTTTTAGAAGTATTTAAACCTTAAAGTGTTACTAAACCCACAACAGTAAAATCAGTCTGTATATGCAGTAAAGCATTCTTGTTATACTCACTGTGGAACCTAAGGGGTAATCCTCCACACTGTGTAAAAAGGCTGTTTGATCCTGTCTTCTCTGATGCTCCCCTTTTCCAAGCGACGACCTTTTATCTCCTGATAAGACAGACTGAACCGTAGGCATTTTGCACATGCTCAGTTTGGTGTGTATTGCTAGAGAGGTTTGTTTTCTTTGGAGAATGCATGTGATCAGCACAGGGCTAATCAGCACTGTCCAGACAGAGGTCAGGGGTTCTGCATCCTTCTAGAGCAGAAAGAAAACTCCTCCTAAAAGCTTTAGCTAGTGCCTGGCTGGACACTGATAGGAGTCACAAGACTGCTTTAACTGCTGATGAGAAAAGGTATTTTTAGAGTTTATATTTACTAAAATAACTGCATTTCCATGTTCTGTGTACTGTGGGAGACCAGATATAGTGAATGCAGGGACCGGGGTTTAGTAATAATATAAGTGGCATCTTACCAATAATGCAATTCTAATTACAGGGGATGCTCAAAGCGGAGCTTCACCCAAAAGCTTTGAGACTTTGTCCCCCGCTCCCCATTAAGGATTGGCACTTATGGGAAATGGGGGGGGGGGGAGAGCAAGTACCCGAATTTGACAGGTACCCGCTCCCACGTCCAGTGCGATCGCTTGTCCTCCTTCCCCATAGTCCTCTGGGACATGTTACAGTCCATTCACAATGCGCAGCAATCTTGCGCATGACCAGTAGGCACCAGGGGCGGACTGACCATTCGAACACTCGGGCACTTCCGTGGGCCCGGGGTCAGTAGGGGCCCCATAAAATGCCCCTGGTACCTTTTATAGGCTTCTTTGGGTGTGCTTTGAGTGTGGGCAAGGACATGGGGGCCCCACGATCCCCTATTGCCCGGGGGCCCCATGAGTTGTCAGTCCGCCCTTGGTAGGCACCCGACTGTGAAGCTGCAAGCTGTCACAGCCAGGTGCCCACACTGAAGATGCCGGCGCCAGGCAGGTGGTGTAGGTTATTCATTCTGGTCATCAATCGCAGTGTCCTGCAGGCTCCTGAATTGGTGATCATGATACATCTTTATAACATTTTTCTCCTGATGAAGATTATTGCGAAACGCGTTGAGAAACTACTTACCATCTGTACCTATGTATAACATGACTTGTTAGTCCATCAAAGGTTATAGTGACCTAATGTAAAATATGGTCAATGTGCATTATGTTCTAGTGCAGGTTGGAAAAGATGTCTGTGTTCACCCCCCCAATGAAAAGAGTGTTTGTTGAACATATGGCCTTTTAATTGTAATATATTTTGGAAAAAAGTGCCTCCTCTTCAAAACAATTTTGGCTAACACCTTAAAATTCCCATGTGTGTAATCTTTATTTTGTACTTCTATAAATTTGGGATGTGGTGGCAGGTGACCATCCATCAATCCCCTTCCTTTACCATGAGCCCTAAAACATTTTACCATGCAGGCTAGTGCAAAGCCGGCTCTGGCAGGGGGCAGTGGGATGTGTGTTTCAACACACTGTGCTGCTTTTTTTCTGTTTTTTTTTTTCCAGTTTTATTGGAAATGTCACATTCACATAACGCAAAGTAGGAATGAGCGTTCCCCCCCGTGATTTTGTGTGCAAGATTTTCACACAATTCCGTGTGCTGCGCATAGGGCAGCCCATTCACTTGAATGAACTGCCCTTTGCGCATATGTTATGCAAAAGCAGCTCAGACACCTTTTTGGCCAATGAGCTACGCATTTGTTTTAAATGCACGTTTTGCCTCTATAGCAGCGGCAATTTTGCTGGCAATTCCAAATCGCCAAATGTGAATGCAACCCAATAGGTCAGCGGTAGGCAACCTGCGGCTCTCTAGCTGTTGTGGAACTACATTTTCCCATGAGGCATAGCAACATTACAAAACTATCAGTTACAGCTATGACTTGCAGAGGCATGATGGAACTTGTAGTCCTGCAACAACTGGGGAGCTGCAGGTTGCCTACCCCTGGGGAAGACACCTCTTTCCCTCTGCTGTCTGCAGGTACGGGCTTACTGTACACAAGGGTAATGCCTGACCATTTGGAAACTCAGGCACTGCCCGAGGGCCCGGGGTCAGTAGGGAGCCCAATGAGATGCCCCTGGTACCTTTTTCATAGGCTTTTTTGAGTTTGGGCAAGGACACAGGGGCCCCATGATCCCCTATTGCCCGGGGGCCCCATGAGTTGTCAGTCAGCCCCTGTACCTGACCTGGATATACCACACTTGCTACAACTTCATCAGTCCACAATTGCCCACATGTGTTTTAATTCATCTTAGTCCAGTGGGAATTTGAAAAATGTTTCAGGGCTGGTTCTCAGCATATGCAGATCAGTGCGTATTTAATCTGCATGAAAAATGCATACACAGTATTTTCTATGTATTTCAGTAAATAAAAGTTGAAACTGCTGCCTTTTTTCTGCATGGAATGCATCTGGAATGCAACAAAATACATGTAAGGCTCCATGCACACTAGCATTTTTTTGCTAAGTTAAAAAAATGCTGGATAAAAAAACACTGGTAATTGCGGTTTTAGGCATTTTAGTAGCATTTAGGAGCACATGTAGAAAAAAGCTAAAAAAAGAAGCTGTTTGGAGCATTTTATTAGCATTTAGCAGCGTTTAGTGTTTTTTTCTGCTGGAAAAACACTCCAAAAAAAATCTACTAAAACTATTTTTTTCTGCTCTTACATGATGAAGCTCACAAAACGCTTATAGCCTAAAGTAGTGTATGTGTGTGTGCATGAACACATAGGATAACACTATTCAGCTTCTAGGAGCAGAAAAAAATGCTAATAACAGCTTCTTAAAAAAACGCTAGTGTGCATGGAGCCTCAATGCACAGGAACACATGCAAATGCATGGGCAGCACAGTGACTAAATGGTTAGCACTTCCGCCTAGCAGTACTAGGGTCGTTGGTTCGAATCCCAGCCGCGGCACCACCTGCCTGGAGTTTGAATGTTATCCCTGTGCCTGCATGGGTTTTCTACAGGTACTACAGTTTCCTTCCACACTCCAAAGACATGCTGGTAGGTTAATTGGATCCTGTCTAAATTGTCCCTAGTATGTGTATGTATGAATGTGAGTTAGGGACTTTAGATTGTACGCCCCTTGAGGGTTAGGGACTGATGTGAATGTACAATATATATGTAAAGTGCTGCATAAATTGACAGTGCTATATAAGTACCTGAAAATAAATAAATGTACCAAGAATGCACCAGAACCTACATTGCCCTGAGATTTTTCACGTGTTAAAAAGAGAGGAAGAACACATTGAAAATGCATCACAAATGCTAGTAAATGCATCTGAAGCACAGAAATTGTGTTGAGAACAAGCCCTCATAGCAGACAGTGATACTGAGTGGGCATCATTGGGTAAAAATAAGGAGAATAGTACGATTGTTCAGGAGTGAATTTCTTATCTTCTGCATTGACAGCCTATGTCCTTTACCTGGAGAGATTGTTTAAAACGGAAGTCCAACACATCGACAAGGAGGTTACCCAATAATGTGATGCACATTACTACCTGTGTATCTGTGTTTGTAGATAGGAAATGTTGTTTACCTATTGGATGTGCGGGGATTATGTCCGACTTTCACTGTTTACAAGGGAATTAAATTTCATGGAACTTACTTCTCAATATTTAGACTTCTGGACGCTTGAAGGAAATTGGCTGATAGGAATGGCAGTTGAAGTGCAGAGAAGCGACAACTAAATTACTCGTCTTTTGTTGTATCTCCGGAATCCAAGTCAGACAAATTCCCGTGTGCTCAGCTTTACTACACTGCAAAAAAAAAAAAAAAAAAAAACTAAAATCATTATTAAAGCAGAAGTCTTAAAGGGAAGCTGTGGCCTTCATAGTGACCCCTATTTATAGAGATGGCACCTCCAGGTCTACATTTGCATCCCTAAATCATCTTCACTGCATCCCAGTAACCCAGGACACAAAAAAGACCACCATTGCCTGCAATTAATGAGATACAGTTGTAGCACCAGACTTGAAGCTGCTAGTATACAGCACAAGTATATAAGTAGACTTACCTGTCTTTGGAAGGGCTCCGGTTCATCATACTTAAAGTGTTACTACACCCCGGACCCTGCATTCACTATATCCGGTCTCCCACAGTACACACAACATGGAAATACAATTGTTTTAGTAAATATAAACTACTAAATACCTTTTCTCATTAGCAGTAAATAGCAGTTTTCTGACTTCTATCAGTGTCCAGCAAAGCACTGGTTAAAGTTTGTAGGAGGACTTTTAATTTTGCTCTAGGAGGATGCAGGACCCATGACCTCTGTCTGGACAGTGCCGATTTACCCTGTGCTGATCACAAGCACTCTCCCAAGAAAAAAAACAAACAAACCTCTCTAGCAATACACACCAAACTCAGCATTTGCAGAGTGTCTCCACATGATATGTCTTATCAGGAGGTAAGAGGGGGCACTGGAAGAAGGGGAGGATCAGAGAAGACAGGATCAAATAGTGTTTTTACACAATGCAGGGGATTAACCCCTTAGGTTCCACAGTGAGCATAACAAGCATGCTTTACTGCATATACAGACTAATTTTACCGTTGTGAGTTTAGTAACACGTTCAACCCACCCACTGTATCTAATCACGGTTCCTTATGGTGGCATATACGGTGCTCTTACTGAACAGGAGAAATGAGGAGATTGGTGCCCTGATGATCAAGCAGTTAGTGAGAAAGTGAAATGACTTTGTGGTGTGGTCTTGTGGACAGGGCTTTTACATTTAAGAAATAAATGACCTGCAGGTTCACCATTAGGCACCCTTGTGTATTAGTATGTGGTCAGATAGGCAAGCATGATCCGACTGCTTAAAGATCTCTCTGGCAAAAGATTGTTTCCTCTGTATGAGCTTCTTGTTATAAAGACCGGTCACTGCTGCTCTCTCTCTCTCTTGTACAGGTGACAGGTCTTGTATCCGCCCCTCTGGTTTTCTGCAGGAAGCCCATGGTGGGTGGAGTTGCTGAGTCCCCTCCCACACCTCTGCTCTCTGCACAGGCTATGTACATCACAGTTGTTCTCAATGTTACATTTACATGGTAATTCTGGGTTTTGGATTTTTTAAATTTATGGCTATTGAGGAATATATTTAAGGGGAGTTCCTCCCTGGAATTCATAAAGAGTGGCACAGACACTCTTTTCAAGTATGTATTCCCTCCATATGATAAATATCGGTGTGTGTGACTGATTCAGGGCTTGTTTACACTAGTGGCGGGAAGGGGGGGGGGCAGTAAAACCCTGTGGTTGAGCCTCATTTTAACACCACCACCCCCTTCCGCAAACACTACCCCTCCCTTTAGCTGCAGAAGCAGCTGACAGGGGTGTACACATGGCGCAGCCGTGGCAGGAATTATACACTCAGTGGTTTTTGGCAGATGTAGAGCCTGCTGAATGCAACTGATTTGAGTGAATGGGGCCACTCTGCAAGCACCCCACAACCACTTCTAATGCATGTGGTTGTGGCATGCTAGTGCAGTGATCAAGGGGTAAAGCAGGAAGTTAGGAGGTGATACAGCTCACCGCATTGAAGAGCTATCCAAAAGCAGATATTGGTGTGAATGGACCCTCACTGTATGTATCTGTGGGAAGCATGTACTTGAATTTGTCACAAAGTTACTCCAGAATTGGCATGAATTACCCTAACATAACATTGGTCTTGTTTTTTTTTTTCTGTGCAGCGCCCCTATAGTTAGCCAGGGAGAGTTAGCTAGGTTTTTAGTTAGAGACTGGATTGCAGCCTGGGATGAGTCAGCCTGGTAACTTTTGGTCAGGGCTGAGGGCTCTGCTGGTCAGTTCCCTGATACCTCCTCCTACTATAGAAGCTTTTTTTTTAGAAGGCAGCTGGGTGGGGGTGAGGAGGAGCTGATCTGCATACTCAGGGGACTCTGACCAATTCCCAAGCAGGAGGCTTGGCATGGGGTCAGGGCAGCCCTTAAGAATGGGAAAGCCTGATCAAGCAGTGGTCAGTGTAGGGTGGAAGATGGAGTGAAGGCTGGAGTGTGGAGCTTGAGAGGGGGCCCAAGAGAGGCGCCTACCTTCAAGCAGGAGCTGGAAGGGAGGATCTCTCAGCCTCAACCGTCCCATAGAGAGGACAGCTTGGGAAGCAGGGAAGGAGTTAGTAATCCCATACACCCTGGGCCAGATAAGGGGAGAGGACAATGAGGTGGCAAACTCAGCTAGCTCCTCATATGGAGCTAATCGTCTAAAGTTTCTGGGTCCCCTTGCTCAGGATTTCCCTCAGGCAGCTGGGTGAAGAGGAAAATTCATCTGGGGTCTGAATCTTTGTCTGCGGACTTGTACATAGTTGCTAAGGAGTTGCAGCTTCCTTTGGCATCCTCAGGGCTGGTGCTTCCACTAGGAAGGTAAAGTAGGCAGCTGCGTAGGGCGCACTGCCACCTAAGGGCACCTGGGTGCAGCACAGGCCGCCACTTTCTCTGTATGGGATGCTGCCACGTCATGAATTAATCTCCAGCTGAGGGGAGGGGCAGCAGAGGGGAGGCCTGCTGGGCCTGCTGATCTGTGTCAGTGTTGGTGGTGGTGTGTTGTGTCAGATCTATAACTGTGTGGGATCACTCAGCTCAGCTGCCTGCTGTTACAACACCTTATCTCCCCCCATTGCCTGGGGAATTCCAGACTGGGATCTGTCAGTGTGGATCCATCATCCTCCACTCACTGCAACTGTCACCCTGCCACTGCCAGCCACAGATACAGTCTGTCCGTGACACTGATTTTATCTTTAATATTGGTGCTTTTGGCATCTTGTGGCACTTATTTTTGCAAAATAAAAGGTTTGCAGTTTCATGTTTTGTTAATTTAATTTCTTCTACTGTTTTTAAACTTTTTTATTTTTTTTGAGGAGGGGGGTGCAAGTAGCTGGTCTTGCCTAGGGTGCAAAATAATCTAGCACCAGCCCTGGGCATCCCATACACCCCTCAACCCT